AACTCTGCCCCAAATTTCTATGCTAAGGGATCATCACCCCACGATTTTCCAAAAGTAAATAATTTAATGTAATGCAAAATACTTGAATGGAGTAAAACTCTTTTTATAGGGATTTCTAGTTAACTCTTCCACAGTAAAGTAATTTTTGGAATACAGAATACCTGATATCTTCTTAACCTTATAAGTTTTCTTCCTTTTGGCCTCTTAGGTTTTCAACTATCTAAAATGAATTACGCATCTAGCTCCAAGACTTGATGCACATATTATAGGCTATGAGAGGTGCTTAGGGAGCCATTTCCTCAGATGAAGAAATGTTCCAGTCAGAACTCAACTGGCATAAACAATACATAAATGAAAAATATTTTTAAAATTAAATTAACAACATAAAAGAGCCAAGCTAATATTTAATAAATTTAATGTTTAACAAATTTAGGCTAGAGAGTTTCTTTTGATTTTGTCTGCTTAATAATAGACTTCATGAATATAAATCATATTAAATTTTTGTTTTAAAATTTTCTATGAAATGTTTTTTGTTGTTCCTTCCTGCCATTGTGCTATCCTAAAGAGAAGGTTAATAAAAAGGCTTTTGACTCTGTAGCCTTGCTAAAGTCAACATATGATACATAAACAAGATAGCTGTTTTACTATTTGCAAAGGGTCATGGGGTGGTAACAGAATAGAATTTTACTGTGTTCAGTTGATAACAGTGGAAAAATGTATTATTTGATTCAGTGAAATATGTGTATGAATATGGAAAGTATTTTTTAGTTTTTAAATAGTTTTAACCATGAACTACTTCAAGCATACAGAAAATTACAGTATATTAAGTATTCTATTCATCTCTCTCTATCCCTGAAGCTAACTCTTACTCTGAAATTGGTGTATACCTTTCTTGTCCATATTTTTATTTTGCTGCATATGTGTAAGTAAAAAATATATTGCACTTTTATTGTATTTAAACTTTTATATAAATGGCATCATATACGAAATCTCCTCTTTCAAACTTTTGACTTGATGTTGTCATGATCCATATCTGTTGATACATGTAGATCTATTTCATTTTAACTGCTGTATAGTACCTCATTATATGAATATGTCAGTTTATATATTCATTCCCTACTGATGGACTGATAGGTTGTTTCCCATTTTTCATTCTTAGAAACAATGATGCAATGAACATTCTTCTACATGCTTCCTTATACATACATGTAAATCTATCTCTAAGGTGATTATCAAGAAGTAGAATTGTCAATTCATAGAGTATTAATATATTAAGGCATAAAGATACTGTAAGATCACCCCCAAACTGACAAGACTTCCATCCCAACAGCAGTCATGATATTCCATTTCATTCTGCTCATGGAAAATGCTATTTTTACAGGTGAAAATTGTAAAAGTATAAAATGATAGCGGATTATTGTTTTAAATGTCATTTTCCCTGATCAATAGTAAGTTGAGCATCTTTTCAAATGTTTGTTGGTTATCTGAATGAACTTTTCCTGCACATCTATTAATCCTCTTGCCATTTAGAGGTGATGCTTTTATCTCGTTAATTTGTAGACTTTATAGTTCCTAAATAGCAATCCTTTTGAGATTAGAAATCTTGTGAAACATCTCTTAGTTTGTGGCTTATAACTTGTAGAGTGGGTTACGGTGTTTTTGTCATATGTCTGGATTTTACATTTCTGTATGGGAATAAAGTGGATATTTTTTATTTTTAACCATTTATCGACAAGTCCATCCATTCCCACACTAATTCATAATGCTACCTCTAACATATACTGAGTTCCCAGAAATATGTGGGGCTGTTTCAGGGCTCTGTAGTCTATTCTAATGGTCTATTTGTCTTTTCTAGCACCGATACCACACTTAAAATGCAAATCAAAACTACAATGAGATATCATCTCACACCAGTCAGAATGGCCATCATCAAAAAATCTAGAAACAATAAATGCTGGAGAGGGTGTGGAGAAAAAGGAACACTCTTGCACTGCTGGTGGGAATGTGAATTGGTTCAGCCACTATGGAGAACAGTATGGAAGTTCCTTAAAAAACTACAAATAGAACTACCATATGACCCAGCAATCCCACTACTGGGCATATACCCTGAGAAAACCATAATTCAAAAAGAGTCATGTACCAAAATGTTCACTGCAGCTCTATTTACAATAGCCCGGAGATGGAAACAACCTAAGTGCCCATCATCGGATGAATGGATAAAGAAGATGTGGCACATATATACAATGGAATATTACTCAGTCATAAAAAGAAACGAAATTGAGCTATCTGTAATGAGGTGGATAGACCTAGAGTCTGTCATACAGAGTGAAGTAAGTCAGAAAGAAAAAGACAAATACTGTATGCTAACACATATATATGGAATTTAAGGGGAAAAAAATGTCATTAAGAACCTAGGCGTAAGACAGGAATAAAGACGCAGACCTACTGGAGAACGGACTTGAGGATATGGGGAGGGGGAAGGGTGAGCTGTGACAGGGCGAAAGAGACTCATGGACGTATACACACTAACAAACGTAGTAAGGTAGATAGCTAGTGGGAAGCAGCCGCATGGCACAGGGATATTGGCTCAGTGCTTTGTGACAGCCTGGAGGGGTGGGATAGGGAGGGTGGGAGGGAGGGAGACGCAAGAGGGAAGACATATGGGAACATATGTGTATGTATAACTGATTCACTTTGTTATAAAGCAGAAACTAACACACCATTGTAAAGCAATTATACCCCAATAAAGATGTTAAAAAATAAATAAATAAATAAATAAATATAACTTTATAATGGATCTTGATATCTGATGGAGAAAGCACACCACTTAAATCTTCCTTAAAATTTCTTTGGATATTATTGGCCCTTTATATTAATATCGAGATCAGCTTGTCTAATTCAATATAACCTTGGTTGTATTTGACCAAATTATATCTACATATCAACTTGGGGGGGAAACAAACAGCCTGACAATACTTAATATTCCCTTTCATGAACATAGTACAGTTTCCCATTTCCCACAGCTATCTTTTATAGCTTTTAATAAAGATTTATGTTTTTCTCCATAAAAGCATTATATGTCACTCATTAGATTTATTCTTAGATGCTCAAAGCTTTCTATTATTATTTTGAATGGTATTATTTTTAAAAATTAGACTTCCTTATTGATTTTTGCTGGAATATAGGAATATCACTGACTTGGGTGCATAAGTAATCTCATTATATTTTATTTGTTCTAATATGTAGTTTATATGTAGCTTCTTTTGAATTTTTTATGTAGCCAATCATATAATCTTTAGCCAATCTAAAAGTATAGAAAGGTGACATTCCTGTTTTGTTCCTAACTCTAAAGGGATGAGCCAAGTATTTCACCATAAGAATGTTCGCTATAAAGTTTTAGTAGATACCCTTTATCAGATTAAAGAATTTCCGTCCATTCATGGTTAACTAAGAATATTTTTGGCTTATTTTTGCTTTGGCTTGTTTTTAAGTTTGGCTGTTGAATTTTATCCAATCCTTTTTACTGATTTATTTAAATGATATTCTTCTCAGTAATATGTTAATATGGTGAATTTTAAAAAAGAATAGTAAATCTTCACATTCTTGAGATAACTCCAAATTGCTCATAATTTATTTATATATATAAATAAATTATATATATCATATAAATATATATGATATATATTTAGCTACAATTGGATTTCATTTAGGAGTTTTGTACACATTCCATGAATTTGATTTATAATTTTCCTTTCATACATTATTCTTGTCTGGTGTAGGTATCAAGATTACGCTAGACTCAGAGTGAATTGTTTTGTTTTCACTGTTTGCTCTCTAGAACGGTCTCTAGAATGCTTTGTGTATGATTATTTCATTCATTCCAAAGTATTATTTTCCCTTAGGCTCTGAAACTGTTTGTATTACTTGGCATTGACTATTTACTTCTATTAATACACATCTATAACCAAGTTCTGACTGAGGAAACACTGGGTAGATAATGAATCTTTCTGTATATATTGGGTTGCCCAAAAAGAACGAACTTTTTGGCCAACCCAATAATTTCTTCAGTTCATGAGCCTAAAAAGTAGGCAATTGAAGCATGTTTTTTTCTAATTTTCATTTGGAAGCCTAATATTAATCTACTTAAAAGAAAAGGAGAATCAACTTTATTATTTCTCATAATTATTAGTTATTCAAAGAAGTACCCCAAAGACACTGGAAACAAACCTCATTTTAGCCTCATTTCACCACAGAACAAATTCAAGTTGCAACATAAGAAGCTTACTTTAACTACAAGAAAAATTGTCCACTAAGCTGAAAACTTATAGAGGGCAATTAGAGATCCTCCTAAGCTGAATATAGATTCTCTTTTAATTCCTTTAATATATCAAGGAATGAATGGACAACAGTTATAACCACCATAAAAATAATTACCAGATCATATGAAAAGAGTCTAAAAGAAATCTCCAGGTCTATCGGACATTGCTATTAATCTTTTCTTATTATTCTTTTAAAATAGTTTCATGCAAGTATGGTTCTGTAAGGAAATTATATAAGCTGATGCTTTATTAATAATTTCCAAACAAGTATGAAAAATATTAGTGTAGACAGAAAAGATGTTAGTTTTGTCAAATTTGGGCGACAGGACAGTACTACCAAGCATGGAAAGTTCCAGTGCAAATTTGGGAGGTGCTAAGTACATAAGAGCACTTGCTCAGAAGACACATGAGCCAGTGTTCAACTATCAAACCTAGTTTTACTTATTTACTACTGTCTGATTTGAGTAAGTGACTTAGTTTTCTCATCTATAAAAATCTCTTTAATTTATTACTATGCCTAAGTAAGGTAATATATGTTGTAAAAACTGAACACAAGGCTGAAATAGCTATATATTCAGACATACTTTTTCCAGACCTGTGAGTACAGACTATGAAACTTACGTCACTGTTTTAACAAAGACCCAGAAAGTTGAATTCAGTGAGAAAGGAGAATATGGTTACCTGGAAAGACAGGCTTTAGTGACAGCACTGTGAAGATTTTCGTTAGGGTACTGTGACAGCCGACGAGAAATCCTCAACAGCTGTCTGGTAGAAAGGGATGCTGCCAATGACTGCGCCTACCAAAAGGCAAAGACAGGCTGTTAAGAGTCTTGTTGCAACTTGCTGAAAGTCCCTTTGGATGGGTATCATAGCAGAATTCATTATTTCTAAGGACAAGGCCAAACTTAAAATAAATATGTACTGTTAATGAATTACAAATAAAATAAACAGAAACCAATTGACACTTAAAACATCCTTAAAGACATTTTTTAAAAATTCCATAAAAACTATTTATTAATTAAATTCAATTAAAGTACTGTGCATACATTTTTTTTGGGGGGGGGAGGAGGCTGGATGGAGGAAAGATGTTACATTGTACAGATTGAACCTGACTTACAAATAGCCCTTATGTACAATTAACCATTTGTTCATTTTTTTTTCCTGCTTACACAGAGCCAAACTGTTAAGATGGCCAGAAATGCTTACAGTTTTAAGTAAATCTATGACTTCTGAAATAGAAAAAAGGAGTTGTGGACAATTTAGCCTTCTGATTATAGAGGTGTCAACCAGTTGTCACTTGGGGGGCAGCTTACAGTTTGGAATCCTTCTCTGACACTGTCAGAATAATTTCCCTTTGTGTTCTTACTCTTCCCCAAATCCCATTAATAGAGCTGCTAGTATAGAACTCAGGACATGGTAAGTACCAATGAATATTTTTTGACTTGAATTTGAAATTACCTTAGCAGGCAGCATAATGTAATAGTAAAGTTTATAAGCTTTGGAGTCAGACAAATCGGTCTTCCATTTATTAGCTGTGTGATTCTGGCAAGTTTCTTAATCTCTTGAAGCCCCAGTTTCCTCATGGTGCACATGGGCTCAGTAGTTGCAGCATGCGGGCTCTAGAGCACGCAAGTGTCAGTAATTGTGGCGCATGGGCTCAGTAGTTGCGGCACGCAGGCTCTAGGGTACGCGGGCTTCAGTAGTGGTGGCGCGTGGGCTCAGTAGTTGTGGCTTGCAGGCTTAGCTGCTCCACAGCATGTGGGATCTTCCCAGACCAGGGATTGAACCTGTGTCTCCTGCACTGACAGGCGGATTCTTAACCACTGCGCAACCAGGGAAGTCCAGCAATTATTATTTAAAGTCAGCCTCTTCAAAATGAAAAAAATCTAACAGAGGAAGGGAACGGGACCTACACATTAGTAGGAATCTAATGCATCAGATTATTACTCGCCTAATGTCTAACTAAGATCAGCAGCATTAGAAGATAGTGGGTTTCACTGAAAATCAAGAGAAGAGGAGAACTTTTGAAGTAAACTGGTCCACTGGTGGTGGTGGTGGGGAGGCACAGAAGAGACCAGGGTGAGATGTCACAGAGTCTGACAAGGGCAATAAAGTGGCCCTGAGCACCAGAGGAAATGGAGGAGGAGACTCTATTAAATTAACCGAGGATTCAGAATGGATGGTAGGAGGATGCCAAAACTACACTACGTTGTTTGTTCCTTTTATCACTTCGCTTAAGCCCATCTTACATCCCAAGGAAGCAGAAAGTGAATTGGTTTCTCCTTTCTCGTGTATTTCACAGCTCCATGAGATGTTGGACTGCTGTTATTAGCATTATATTTCAGCTACAACATGAGTTAAACACTCCTTTGGGGACTAGATTAGGAGCATGACCACCATTTATGACATATCCTTTTTTCTATTAAAAAACACGTTCTAAGTTACAAAGAACTCAAAAGCAAAACATTTGACTCAGACTTCTTCAACAAATTTGCGTTCTAGACGTGGAGACAATATTTACATATAAGAAAGCATAAATTGCAATTCAAAATAGCATATAATTTAATGCAAAAATAAGTGGAGCACTTGACAAAACTGCTATAGGGGCTTAAAATGTTCAAATGGGTAGCAGAAATGCTATGAACAAAGGCACGAAAGCAACAGGAACAGAAATACAAGCAGAATGTGAGGAAACCAGCCCAGCTTTACTAGAGGGTCCTGCTGGAAAGCTTGCTCCCTAATATCAAAGACCCGTAAATCACTTTTTGAGGAGTTTGGCCCTTCTTCTAAAGGCAATAGGACTTAGTAACATGATTTTAGAAAGACTAAACTGGCAGGAATATACAAAGTAGTTTAAGGACAGAGAAAACTGAGACAGGAATCAGAAAGCTACTTCAGTTACCTACTTATAAAGAGAGAAAGTCCTACAGTAAGGTTACTGGCAGTAAGAAGGGGGAGAAGGGATCAGACCAATGTTTCAAAGGACTTGGCAACTGATGGAGATGAGAAAGGAGGACGGATGTGAGAAAGTAGGAAGAATTAAGGATAAGGTTGTTTCAGCCACTATGATCGAAAGTATTAGAAGTTAAATATGATAGCAATTCTCATCTTAATATTTGAGACCATGAAAAATTCCTATTTTAATCATGGAAAATGTATGACAAATGACTCCAACCAGAAGATTCTTATGACAAGAGTCCTATTAAACCATACAGTAACTTTCCAGGTTACAAAATTCTAACCTAATTCCAAATATGACACTGAATTCAGGCTTCACATTTCATTCCAGTGATCAGTAAGGACTTCTCATGAGTTTAAAAAATACCACATCAGGGCTTCCCTGGTGGCGCAGTGGTTGAGAGTCCGCCTGCCGATGCAGGGGACACGGGTTCGTGCCCCGGTCCGGGAGGATCCCACATGCCGCGGAGCGGCTGGGCCCGTGAGCCATGGCCGCTGAGCCTGCGCATCCGGAGCCTGTGCTCCGCAACGGGAGAGGCCACAACGGTGAGAGGCCCGCATTCCGCAAAAAAAAAAAAAAGAAAAAAAAAATACCACATCAGTTGATAATACCAAAATGCTTTGCAATAACATCCAGGACTAAATCAGAAAGAAGTTTAGCCACTTATGTGTTGAGTAAAGGGTTTGCTATTTCTGTTCTCACATTATTACCAACTGAAAATTGAGAATGTACTTTTAATTTAAAAATCCTAATGTACTTAACACTTATAATATCAAATTTCTAACTGCAGTTTTATCTTGCAAAAAAAGGGTGAGGATGTGAGCACATTCCCTTAGTTACCATGGTTATTCAGTTTAAGAGCACACCTCAAGGGTTTTTTTTTTGGATTAACATGATTAATAATAGGAATTCAGCTTAAAAATAAGAAAGGTCTTTTCAAAAATTACTAAAAATAAATTTTCTATTTTTCCTCTTATTTCTTTTATGAAAATGTAATGTTCTCTGGGAGAGAAAACTCCAGGGAAATCTACTAATAAATTAATAACTAATTAATTAATTTATTCATGCACTCAGCAAACATTTGTTAATTTTCTAGTATGTGGCAGGCACCAGGATGGGAATTAGCTGGTGCAAGGATGCTCTGACCCTCCTTTGTCCCCCTGAAAGCAGGAAATGAATCTCCCATGAAACAGATACCCTCCCTGTACCAGGAGGGTAGAAAGCATCCTTATCACCAGAAATAGGAAATTTAGGACTGAGAAGGCTAATATAAACAAACCTTGTTTCTTCTTCACTTAATTTCTACCCCAAGCCCAAACTTCTCTGTGTTGTCAGTTCTTCAGAATTTTATTGTTTCTTTGACTAAAAGGTATAAAAGCTACCTGCTTTGGTCACTTTTTGAGTTTCAGATTTTTATGGGGCTTCTGCATGTACAAAATTAAATTTGTTGTTTTTCTCCTATTAAACTGTCTCATGTCAATTTAATTACTAGGCTAGCCAAAGGACCTAGAACAAAAGAAGGTAAAAGTTTCCTGCCCCTATAACATCCCAAAATGTAAATACAATCCGAAATAGAGAATCAGTGAGGAAGAAGTTAGAAACTGAAGATAAAATTGTAGGCATTAACACAGAGGTGATACCTGAAGCCATAAGAATACATGAGATTGCTCGGCACAGGAGACAGAGAAGTAGACCCAAACCTCCTGGAATACCCAAGTACTCCCCTAAAGTTAAAAGCTGTTTTCTATGACACCAGCCATGAGGAGCTGGAAGAAATGTTAAAGTCATTGAAACAGTAAGATATATACATAGGAGAAAGCATAGCATAAGGGATAAATATATCAGCTTAAAAAATAGATTTTAAAGCACTGAACTCTAAGAATATAAGGCAGCATGTCAACAACAGAAAATCCTATGGAAAATAACCCAGACTTACTGTTGGATCCTGTGTCTCTCTGAGTTTGTGTGTAAATGATAACAATTTGTCCAAAGCTTCCTGAGGCATATTTGGGACCTATTTTATAAGAGAATTAAGGAAAGAAAGAATAAATTGGGATATATGATCAATCAACCAGAAATTACGGTTACTTATCAAACAATATTAGAATTATAATTTTTGAAATCTCTGATTATAGGTATCATGTTTAACCTGTGGATAAATTTGCTTATTCATTTTCTCAGGAAACACATCTGCCTCTGCTTTCTCTTTAAGAATCAGGTAAAAAAGATGTGGTACATATATACAATTGAATACTCCTCAGCCACAAAAAAGAATGAAATAATGCCGTTTGCAGCAACATGGATGCAACTAGAGATTACCATACTAAATGAAGTAAGTCAGAAAGAGAAAGACAAACACTGTATGAGATCACTTATATGTGGAATCTAAAATATGACACAAATGAACCTATCTATGAAACAGAAACGGAATCACAGACATAGAGAATAGACTTGCCAAAGGGGAGAAGGGTGGGAAAGGGATGGATTGGGAGTTTGGGATTAGCAGATGCAAACTGGCATATATAGAATGGATAAACAACAAGGTCCTTCTATATAGCACAGGGAACTATATTCAATATCCTGTGATAAACCATAATGAAAAAGAATGTGAAAAAGAATGTATATATATGTATAACTGAGTACCTTGCTGTACAGCAGTAATTAACACAATATTATAAATCAACTATACTTCAATTAAAAAAAGAAAAAGAATCAGGTAATCAAAACCAGGCCACTCTTCATTTACAATTCCATCGCCAGGACAAAACTGAAAGGAGCCTCTAACCAATTAAAAACTGGCACAGAGTGTACCCATAAGAAACTTTTCATATATTATATCCTTTTTTGTTAGCTTCAACTCTAATTTAGGCACTTTTCTTACTGAAACCAAACTCCTTCATTTAGTAGTAATCTTATATCTATGTCTACTAAGAGATGTAAGGTATCCTTGTATAAAGGGCGGTTGCTCAAGCTGTCCATTTTTTCAAGGACTTTAAAACCACATACCTGGTGGGTGGGGAAAGGATGGATTGGGAGTTTGGGATTAGTAGATGCAAACTATTATACAGAAAATGGATAAACAACAAGGTCCTACTGTATAGCACAGGGAATTATATTCAATATCCTGTGATAAACCATAATGGAAAAGAATACGAAAAAGAATGTATATATATGCATTACTGAATCACTTTGCTGTACAGTAGAAATTAACACAACATTGTAAATCAACTATACTTCATTAACATAAATAAATAAATAAAAACCAACCACATACCTGAGGGGCATGATCTATTTATCAATGAACGCTGAAGAACAGTTGCCCCAAAACATACACTGATTGCTTTTAGGTACACCAATTTTAAACTAATTAAATATGTATTTGTATTGAATAATAAGAAAATTTTACATAAATAATAACAAGTTTAAAATTTTAATTTAAAAAGAGCAGGAGTTGTTACAACAATGACTGGTATCACGTGACTATTTCAGAAATAAACTGCTCAGGGTTTCTTTGGGCATTTAAGTAATTGGAACTTTTAAAATTTGAAGCTCTATTCAGTACATACTCATTTATTCTTTAAATCAATCCTGTGATATAAGAAGTAGTATCATCCCCATCTTCAGATGAAGAGCCTACAGTTGAGTAATTTACCCACGATCTAGAAGCTAATCAGTAGTGGATTTGACATTTAAAGGCAAGCTATTTGACTTTAAAGCCTATGCCCTTATCCACAACCATGCTCATAAGACCTAAAATTAATTCATTCATTCTGGTATTTCAAAGGGGATGAGCGCATTTATGTAAAAAGTTAATTATTAGTGATCTAGAATAGTACTGTCCAATAGAACTCTCTATGATGATGGCAATGTTCTTTATCTATGCTATCGGCCACTTGAAATAAGACTGAGAAACTGAATTTTTGAATTTGATTTAATGTGGCTAGTGCTACTACACTGAATAGTGCAGCTCTAGAACTCCAAACGTGCTGAACACAGTGCTTGGTTAAGGCAGACACTGCAATAATAGTTTACATACACGACAAGCCACTAGACAACTAATCAGTTAAGTATAGGATATATTACAATCCCGAGGGAACCACTACTTAGTATTTTCTACAAAATCTAAGGAACTAAAATATATTTGGCCTCTCCTAATAGTAGGAACTTAAAATTTAGTCACCTTCGGCTGAATATAAAAGGAAAAGGAATCCCCAAACTGCTTCCACATGAGGAAAACGGAGAGATAGCCTAACATTCATGGTTCTCAAAGTGTGGTCCCCAGACCAGCAGCTGTCAGCATCACCTTAGAAGTGCAAATTCTCATGTTCCATCCCAGAACCACTGACTTGGCAATCTGTCATTTAACAAGCCCTCCAGATGAGTTTGAAAAATGTTGACATCTGAGAACCATTTTATGAGGAAATCTGGAAATTAACAGTGAGAAAAAGTCCAAAATATCCAACTCTGCTCAAGCAGGTGTCACAAAGACCTTAAAAAGAGAACAGCTGAAGGCAACAGGCTAGAGCTGGCCTCACTCTTACCATTTCCTTAATCACTTGGATTTCTTCACTTTTGACAAGTGGTTTCATGTAATGGAAAAAGAACATGGTTAAGAATTCTGGTCCCAGCCACTGCTGTGCCGTGCTTCCAGTAACAGGGGGTTCTGCTAAGGCAATGATTCTGAAGGAGGGGTGGACAGGAAAAATCGATCTAAAAGGAAAAAAAAAATTTTCAAAACATAACCTTTTATGTTAGAAATTAAGATATGGTAGCTAAAGCCTAGCCAATAATAAGGCTGTACTACAGTTAAAGCTATTATCCAAAGAACAAGCTTTGAAAAAACAAGTCAGGACACTCTAAAAACCTAAGATTAAAACAAAAGAAGAATCACCAACCATTAATATTTATGATGTACCACATCCACTGATGAAACTCCATCCCTGGTACAAAGCACCGTTTTGGATATGTTGTTATACTTACGATAAATTTTCTCCATAGTCCCTTGAAACATAACCCCAAACAGTCCATATTCATTTCATAGGTCCCCTGTGTTTATTCAAAATCTCCTGTCTTGCAAGGAACCCACTCTATGTCAACCATAGAAATACCAAGAAGTATGATTCAGGATAAGAAGACTTTTTATAATATAGAAAATTTAAGGAGCATACGGGATTGGATTAAAATTAAACTTTGGATTGACAATAAGAATACTTAGGTCTTAAAAAGGTAGAGAAAAGTGAACTTCTATATAACTCACTCATTTGTCATTTTATAGGAAACAATATGATTTTTAAAGTAATCTCTTTGATAAATCTCTGCTAGGGAATCTGAAGATGTAAATATTCTAGGACACACAGAGAAATAAAATAAGACTTCCCATGCTTTGTGAAATGACTTGAGTAGCTTTTGAAGAAGGAGCTAGAAATCCTTTATCATGATCTAATCATGAGTAATATCCTCAGTTCTTATCAATTTTCAAAATTGCAGGGCAAATAGACTTTTTGAGGGTTATATCATCCTTGCTGAGAAAGGAGAGGTGAAACTCAAACACTTGCGAAGATCTTCAGAAAAACCAAAATAAAGGGACCTAAATGGCGTTTCTTCATTGCCATTAACTATCGTGGTAGAACTCAAGTTATGTGATTGCGCAGTGAAAATATCAGGAGATAGGACATGTGTAGAAAGAATCAAATAAATACTCTGAAGATTTCAGATAAGAAAAAGTCCTCCCAATAGAAAAGGTAGGTCCACTGAGTCCCTGACTGCATTATCTGTAATCTTAGGGGGTGACAGCATAATTTGTAAGTCAGGGAAAAGCAATTTTTAGAAATGGTCATATGAAAAGTCTGGATGAATTCCTAAAAGCTACCAAATACCATTTCATTTCTCTGGGTAGGAAAAAAAAAAAAAGACTTCCCCAAGCATGGCACGGGGATGATCTGTTCAAAGGAGTTGTTCTAGGAAAAGAAGAAAGGATAACGACACAGATAATGCCTGAAAGTCCTGAGGATAACACGATCACTCATGATTGCTAGTAATTAGACAGTCACCTAACAGAACCTGGACAGAGAAAATTCTATGATCTGAAAGCTAAAAGGAAAGGTTATTCCATTTTCCACTTCTGCTAAGTGATTTGCTATAATCCAGAAAAGTCTGCTTCATGGCCCAGCAACAGATGTTGGATTCATCCTTGATCCTCCTCTCTCCTAGCCGGGACAAAAGAAGGTGGCAGAGACAGAGTCTGCTTATTTGTGCTTTGTTCAAAAGTAAAGCTGCAAATGTAATTTTTAACTCAAGACAGTGAGGGATACTAAATTAGGGAATAAACAAAGCCAAAATCCAATAAGCAAGCCAAAAGAGGAAGTCCAATTTACACCTTAAACCAATAGGTCAGGAAAAGGTACCATAGATGAGCTGTAAATTCAGGCCTAGAAGAACAATTAACATGAAAGCAAGCTAGGTGGTTTTAACTAATATAGGGGGATGGTTATTGCTTATGACATGCATTGTCTGTGGCTTGCTTTCTGGTACTGACTCTAGCAGGGTACCCAAATGAGCTGGATAAAATTAAAGGGGAAAGGGGCTTCCCTGGTAGCGCAGTGGTTGAGAGTCCGCCTGCCGATGCAGGGGACATGGGTTCGTGCCCCGGTCCGGGAAGATCCCACATGCCGCGGAGCGGCTGGGCCCGTGAGCCACGGCCGCTGAGCCTGCGCGTCCGGAGCCTGTGCTCCGCAACGGGAGAGGCCACAACAGTGAGAGGCCCGCGTACCACAAAAAAAAAAAAAAAAAAAATTAAAGGGGGCAGTTTGTTAGACAGCTGATGTTGACAGGCAGAGAAGTGTATGCTGACAATAAAAACAGCCATCGAAGTACTGAATAACAGGATGAGAAGGATCTTTTTGTTTGTTAGGATCTCCGCAAAGGCTTCCTTACATATAAATAGGTCATATGGAAAGTCACTTCCTAATGAAGCTAGGTTCTCCAAGCCTGAAAGCTAGAGAGCAGAGTACGCCTGAGGATCAGCCATGTACTTTCAGGTGATCTGACATATTGGTGGGTAACACAAAGGCTGAAGCAGTGGTAAATAACTGAGAATTAGGAAATATGCACTATGAAAATTTAAAATCAAGGTTAACTTCAATTTTACTAGAATTTAACAACAAATAACAAATGAAACTAAAGATATGGATTAACTTCAGATAAACAGATATTATTTCATAAAGATTAAAAAATTTTAAAGCAAAAGATCTTTTACAAAGACTTAAAAAATTAAAATACTGCGGTCAATATGCTTGTTTGGGGGCATAGGTTTTTAGAGAGTAAAGTACTTTCCAATGCTTCTCAGCAACAAAAAGGAATGGATTACTGATATACATAACAACATGGAATATCTCAAAATAATTATGCTGAGTGAAAGAAGGTAGGTCCAAAAGAGTAATAAGTGTGTGATTCCATTTATATAAATCTCTAGAAAATACAAGTTATATAGAATAACAGGAAGCAGATTCCTAGGGGTAGAAGAGGAGGGTGAGAAGGGGAGAGAGAGAGGGATTATAAAGGGGACCAAGGACACTTTGGGGATCGTAGATGTAGTCATTATATTGATTGTGGTGATGGTTTCATAGGTGTATAAAAAAGCCAAAAATTATCAAACCGTATACTTTAAATATGCAGTTTTTAATATGTCAATTATACCTCAACAGAGCTTTAATAAAACAAAAAATTCAATAAATTTCTATATTTTGAAGGAAATTATATGCTACATTTTTGTCAAATGTGTTTATTAAGGAACTTGAAATCATAATATAGAAGGTTTTTATAAAGATATTAATCATGAACTGGAAGAGGATTTTGTAACTGGCCTTCCACACTATAATACTAATGTTCCAACTCAGAACCTGGAGGTTATGCAGTCCTGTACACAGTCCATATTTCTCCTTTTTTGCAATGTAGCAAACTGCATGGACACACCTAACACATCTTTATACCACACAGTGTCTAGTGTGATGAAAGACAGATGAGAGAGAGATAGATGGATGGATAGATAGATAGATAGATAGATGAATGTATTGCTGCTGTTAATAACCACCACTGCAAGAAAATTTTTGAAGACCTTTGGTGGCAAGGACAAAACAAAGATAAGTGATAAGAACTGAGAATAATGGTTTCCCCTTCAAAAGCAGAGCAGCTAGTCTAAATCTGGTCTTGAATGAATTTTTTTTTTACAAGATTCATTCTTATATCAAATATGTGACACATTTGTGTATAAAAAAGACATAAGCAATACACACAATAATAAGTAATGAGATCCTTCAAAGGCACAGAGCTTAGAACTTTCCCTTGACTGTAAAATGTTTAGCATGATTTTTCAAAATCAGAATTTGCATACAGTGCTTTGTTTTGAAATCAAACACAAAGACTTGGGCATAAAACCCTAGATCTACCTTGAATTTTGTTAAAAATTTATACAGCCTAATTTTCTAGCAAAGAGATCCTGAGGTTTCTGGGGGAGGTAGGAGAGTACCTACCTCGAATGCTTGAATCGTAACTATCTTCAAACATGAGTAAGAGTAAAAGGGTCCAGGGAATGTAACGGATTGAGGATTGTGCCCAATGTCCACTTACCGTTCACAACTGATTAATAAAAACTGGGAGATTATAAACTGTTTTCAATGTTTAATCACAATCAATAAAAATATTCAATAAAAATGCAAAAACATTAGAGCATATATAATTACAACTGAGACCAGGCCCCTAATCTTTATTTCTTCCCTGAGATAACCAGAGGCCTTATTTTTGGTAAAATAAACTATTAGCAATTCATAGAAACTCTCACCCCCCTCATCTAGGCTCTGACCAACAGCAGGAAGGGACACATTTAGCAGCCTATAGTATTATACTCCCCCTTTCCCCAAAGAAGTTTTCTCATCAAAGTAAGTAGTTCTATTTCGGTCCTTATTTCCTGTGAGAAATGCAGGCATGGTGTCTGGTGTGCGTGGCCATCATGTTATTTCTTACGACCACGTCCACAGTATTCCTGGCGTCTTGCAACAGAAGAAGGAAAGTCTCTAACATTCCTTAAGCTATTTCTTTTTTTTTTTAATTTTAATTTATTTATTTATTAATTTTGGCTGTGTTGGGTCTTCGTTTCTGTGCGAGGGCTTTCTCTAGTTGCGGCGAGCGGGGGCCACTCTTCATCGCGGTGTGCGGGCCTCTCACTATTGCGACCTCTCCCGTTGTGGAGCACAGGCTCCAGATGCGCAGGCTCAGTAGCTGTGGCTCACAGGCCTAGTTGCTCCGCGGCACGTGGGATCTTCCCGGACCGAGGCACGAACCCGCGTCCCCTGCATCGGCAGGTGGACTCTCAACCACTGCGCCACCAGGGAAGCCCTTCTTAAGCTAATTCTAAGGGAACATTAGCTATGTCATTACCTGCAAAGAATACTAAGGAAACGATCAAGGTATATGATCTTGGTGAAGGGTTAGACCCCAATGAAGGTAAGCAAAGGAGTCAAATATAATTGTATAGAAACTGGGTTTCATACTATGAAGCTGAAAGGCTTGGTAGCTCACTGCTATTAGATGTTAATTATGAGACCCCATGTTATCAGATTTGTCATTAAAAGCCAAAGTATTACTAATTAGTAGGTTCATAAAAGGAAACATTGCTAGCTCAGAAAGTTATCTAAAACTGGATTAATAGAATTACT